TCTAAATGACCAAGTTTGACCAACTTTCCGGCTCTGGGTGGTCGTTGCCAACCTCCCTGAGCCAGTCCGAAGGCCTCACTGAGCCATTCAATCGGTAGTAGCGACGGGCGGTGTGTACAAAGGGCAGGGACGTAATCGGCACAAGCTGATGACTTGTGCCTACTAGGCATTCCTCGTTGAAGAGCAATAATTGCAATGCTCTATCCCCAGCACGACAGGGTTTAACAAGATTACCCAGACCTCTCGGCCAAGGTGATGTACTCGCTGGCCCTGTCAGTGTAGCGCGCGTGCGGCCCAGAACATCTAAGGGCATCACAGACCTGTTATTGCCTCAAACTTCCATCGGCTTGAGCCGATAGTCCCTCTAAGAAGCCAGCGGCCCACAAACGTGGGTCGGGCTATTTAGCAGGTTAAGGTCTCGTTCGTTATCGCAATTAAGCAGACAAATCACTCCACCAACTAAGAACGGCCATGCACCACCATCCAAAAGATCAAGAAAGAGCTCTCAATCTGTCAATCCTTATTTTGTCTGGACCTGGTGAGTTTCCCCGTGTTGAGTCAAATTAAGCCGCAGGCTCCACGCCTGGTGGTGCCCTTCCGTCAATTTCTTTAAGTTTCAGCCTTGCGACCATACTCCCCCCAGAACCCAAAAACTTTGATTTCTCGTAAGGTGCCGAACGGGTTATTCAAAGTTGCCCGTCCGATCCCTAGTCGGCATAGTTTATGGTTAAGACTACGACGGTATCTGATCGTCTTCGATCCCCTAACTTTCGTTCACTGATTAATGAAAACATCCTTGGCGAATGCTTTCGCAGTAGTTAGTCTTCAGCAAATCCAAGAATTTCACCTCTGACAGCCGAATACTGACGCCCCCGACTATCCCTATTAATCATTACGGCGGTCCTAGAAACCAACAAAATAGAACCACACGTCCTATTCTATTATTCCATGCTAATGTATCCGAGCAAAGGCCTGCTTTGAACACTCTAATTTTTTCACAGTAAAAGTCCTGGTTCCCCCTACAGCCAGTGAAGGCCATAGGGTTCCCCAGAAGGAAAGGTCCAGCCGGACCAGTGCACGCCGCGAAGCGGACCGGCCAGCCAGACCCAAGGTTCAACTACGAGCTTTTTAACTGCAACAACTTTAATATACGCTATTGGAGCTGGAATTACCGCGGCTGCTGGCACCAGACTTGCCCTCCAATTGTTCCTCGTTAAGGGATTTAAATTGTACTCATTCCAATTACAAGACCCGAAAGAGCCCTGTATCAGTATTTATTGTCACTACCTCCCCGTGTTGGGATTGGGTAATTTGCGCGCCTGCTGCCTTCCTTGGATGTGGTAGCCGTTTCTCAGGCTCCCTCTCCGGAATCGAACCCTAATTCCCCGTTACCCGTTGCCACCATGGTAGGCCACTATCCTACCATCGAAAGTTGATAGGGCAGAAATTTGAATGAACCATCGCCAGCGCAAGGCCATGCGATTCGACAAGTTATTATGAATCACCAAAGAGCCCCGAAGGGCATTGGTTTTTTATCTAATAAATACACCCCTTCCGAAGTCGAGGTTTTTAGCATGTATTAGCTCTAGAATTACCACGGGTATCCATGTAGTAAGGTACTATCAAATAAACGATAACTGATTTAATGAGCCATTCGCAGTTTCACCGTACAAATTGCTTATACTTAGACATGCATGGCTTAATCTTTGAGACAAGCATATGACTACTGGCAGAATCAACCAGGTAACTACCGTCTGCACCGCCATCGCGGAGCCGAAGCCCTGCGCGGCGACGCCCGAACCCGGTCAAACCGGGCTGGAAGCAGTTCAACTAGAAGGAGCTCTCTCACGAGTAGCTCGCCCGGGGCAGACAGCGCAGCGCACCGCGCCACTGCTCCGAGCATTCAATTGCCCCCACTGGATTTCTTAAACAACCTTCCGCTGCAGAATCAGACTTACGCCCCGGAAGGAGCGCGCGTCCGCCTGCAACATGAGCTGCCCAAGAGAAGGGCCAGAACCTTGAACACATAGCTAGAACTACGGATCTCAAAGCTCACCTCCCTTCAAGAACATTTAACCAATTGCGAGCCAGCGGCCAACAATGGGTAAACTTCTCCCTCGCCTAAAGGATAAAGACCTTTTGGGCTTCGGGTGCTTTTGGTAATCTTTATAGCAAAAGCATTTCACGCCTTCGGTCGGTGAAGCGGCAACCTGAGTTGGACGGCTCAACTACCGAGAAAGCATGTGCCAGCTATGAAAGCTATCTGCAGCGCAAAGGCACAAAGAAGTTAATCGGCCAGAGGCAGCCAGGCCCACACGCTGCATCAGATATATCATCCGACCAGCTTGCCGACCCAACTCACCTCCTGCCTACATATACTCTCCGGACGCTTGTCCGCGTTGAATTGAAGGTCTATCGATGGAACTACCGCAAAGTTATTGAAGATGCACATAATTTGTATGAGTTTGGTAAAACTGGGCCAAACTATAGGCAAAAATGA